ACATCAGCTATTATGTTTTAGATTGCCTATTGCTTGGCCAAGTACATTCTGGAGGAAGAAGGACGGGCAATTCAATTGGCGCTTTTTGCCGCTGGTACCTGTCCGGGTGGTGGAAAAAGCTCTTTCTGGACGATCATCTTCGGCGGGAATCTCGATTTATCCGTTTCGCTCACATTCGCTCAAAATTTCTTTGCTTTAAGTGAGTTTTTGAGAAATAGAAAGTACCGTTAGAATAGAAAGAAAGTACCGTTAGAATAGAAAGAAAGTACATGATTCTATTGGGTAAATGAAAGATTTTCCAGTAGCAATGCCGATTTGGATTGGCACTCTTGGAAAAGAGTTCACCACTGAATCGCTGCGCATTCCATTTGGGGACATTGTTGAAGCGTTGGTGATTTTACTGATTCCAACAGTTCTCGGAATGATCTTCATTCACTACAAAGCGAATCTCTACTCGGATATTCAGAAATTGGTCAAAGTTTGTTTGTTTTTCGTTTGGATTGCATCAATTTTGTTAGATAATCGTTTGGATTGGCACATTTTTCTTCTTTCTCACCTCGATTTATGCCAATTTCTACATTGTTTTCTTGTTGAATTGGAGAATTGTGTTGGCTGGTTGTCTTTTGCCTTGGTCAGGTGAGAAATGAGAAAGCATTTGGTTTATGGGTATGCTTTGGCACGTTTCTGATTCCAAATCTTCTAAAAAAGTTAAGCTATACTTTTTCTGAGGTTTACGAAATCCCATACAAACTTTGCGCGCTTAAACTTGGCGCGCTAACTTTTGACAGAGTGCTCCATAACAGAAACGGAAAGCAGATACGGAATCGGCTTTGAATTCTGCATAAAATATAGTACATTTCATTTGTCCATCACACTCAGTTGAGACTCTATGTTGCTTGATGTGTGACATTGCTAGTTAGCGATGGGACACCAGTTGCCTTAACGCCTTAACACCTTAACGCCTTAACTCCTTAACGCCTTAACGCCTTAACGCCTTAACGCCTTAACTTAACGCCTTAACGCCTAACTCCTTAACTCATTAACGCCTTAACTCCTTAACGCCTTAACTCCTTAACGCCTTAACGCCTTAACGCCTTAACGCCAGCCTTAACTCCTTAACGCCTTAACTCCTTAACGCCTTAACTCCTTAACGCCTTAACTCCTTAACGCCTTAACTCCTTAGCGCCTTAACCCCTTAACGCCTTAACCCCTTAACGCCTTAACGCCAATAACCAATACTTGTGTAAATCCAAAAGATGCAGCATGAAATTTCCCGTCAATCCTCCATATATGCTAAATTTTATCTAGTAAATGTTTGTTTGTGAAAAACTACGCACTTTAAGTATATCGTGGGGGGGGGGGGGGGGGGGGGGGGGGGGGGGGGGGGGGGGGGGGGGGGGAGGGGGGGGGGGGGGGGGGGGGGGGGGGGGGGGGGGGGGGGGGGGGGGGGGGGGGGGGAGGGGGGGGGGGGGGGGACTCCCCAATCGGTAGCGAAGAATACGTAGTTGGCATTTCATTGGCGATGAGATTAAAGTTGCTTGATGCTTTTTGTTTTCTTGCTCATCAAAAAGGCGTATGCATACGGAACAAATAAATGTTTCCAATAAAGAAAAAGATTAACACGTTGCCTTAAAAGCAACCTCAGCTATTCCCCAATCGGTAGCGAAGAAAATCCAGTTGACATTCCATTGTTAGTTGGTGATGGGAGACCAATTGCTTGATGAGATTTCAGTGTAAACTTTTGTCTTCTTGATCATCAAAAAGGGAATTATATAGAGGAAAAGATTTTTTAAAAAAAAAAAAAAAAAATTTGGGGTTTAAAAAAAAACACCCCTGCCGAAAACAAGGGGAGGGGAGGAGGAAAGAATATATATTATTTTTTTTTGTTGGGTGGGGGGGGTATTGTTTTGGTTGTTTTTTTTTTTTTTTTTTTTTTTTTTTTTTTTTTTCTTTAAAAAAAAAAAAGCGTATGCATACGGAACAAATAAATGTTTCCAAGAAAGAACACATTGCATTAAAAACTCTTCATGACAATTTCTAGTTTTTTTTCAGGCTACTTGATGGCGTTTATCGTGGCAACAATTTTGGGAATGGAGTTCAAGGATAAGATCACGATTTCGATCGAGACCGGGATTCAGCACGTTTGTGAGTGTTTTATACTTTAAAAAAATAATGTTTTCAGATAATGTTTCCAAATAAATTACCCCTAAAGAAGATAAATAAGCTCGATTTTCCTTTAGCAATCGCAATGGTTATCTTGGTTTTAACTTTCCCGGAGCCAGAGGTCGATCTTGCGATGGTCATCCTATTTGTCACTGTTTTGATGACGGATAAGGTAAAGAATTTAAGAATTTAAGAATTTAAGAATTTAAGATTTCTTCAGAAGGGATGTGTTTCTTTTTTTAAAATCCAATCCAAAAGCTTTTAGCCTCTTCTTTTCTTTTACTTTTTGCTACGCGTTTATCGACGTTTTAACCCATTGAAAGAGGAGAAAAAGGAAAATGGAGAGATCAACAATGGATCAACAGATATCACACCAAAGGACAGCTTCACTGACATTTCGCTAATCGATGATTCAAAAGTAAGCCAATTTTTTTGAATTTTCCAGAATCTAGAGCCATTTAAGCAAAGCCAGAGCTAAAGTTAAAGCTAAAGCCAGAGCTAAAGCCAGAGCTAAAGCCAGAGCTAAAGCCAGAGCTAAAGCTAAAGCCTGAGCTAAAGCCTGAGCAAAGCAAAGCCGGCTAAAGCCGGCAAAGCCGAGCAAAGCCAGACAAAGCCGAGCTAAAGCAAAGCAGCAGGCAAAGCAAAGCAAAGCCAGAGCTAAAGCTAGAGCTAAAGCCAGAGCTAAAGCTAGAGCTAAAGCCTGAGCTAAAGCCTGAGCTAAAGCCAGAGCTAAAGCTAGAGCTAAAGCCAGAGCTAAAGCCAGAGCAGGAATCAAATCCAGACTAGTAGATTAGCCAAAATTGAGTCAAACAATCAATTGTTCAAGTGAAAACAGAGCATAATGAGTTTTGGTGACATTTCTCAAGAATTTACACTTAAACCGCGTCGAGCATGTGTTTATTTATCTAATAAATTCAATCTAAACAAGTTTTTGACAAGATCGCTCTTAAAAGTTCCAGAAGTAGCGGCTCTCAACTTTAGAAGGTTATATAAAAAAGTTGAAAGCTTGAATTGATTAGATAATGGACAACTTTTTAGGAGATATACTAAAGATTTTTCTCCAGGAGAATCAGAATGATTGACTCAATTTTGGGAAATCTAGGGCCTCTGAAGTGAGGCCTTATAATTGTGAGCGTTAGGTTTATTTTTCGATCGACTTATAATAAAGAATCTATTGATCAATTAACAATAACGAATCTATCCATCAATTAATAATAAAGAGCCTGTCGAGCAATCAATAATAAAGAAACTATTGATCAATTAATAATTAAGGATCTATTGATCAATTAACAATAAAGAACCTATCGATCAATCAACAGTAAAGAGTCTATCAATCAATTAGTAATAAAAAAAAAACCTAGAATCTATGAGCCATTCCATCAAACGTTCAGTCTTCGATAGGCAAGAAAGCCAAAGAAAGAAAGAATCAAATGCTTAATCGAAAAAAACAATCGATATCGATCGAACGATTCTATAGCTACAAAATTGGAACCTTTTCAAAATCAAAAATCTTCCAAATCCAGAAAGATTTCAGCTTATTTTTCAAGTTCTTGGCTAAATTTCAATGTTTTTACAAATATCGGAGTACTTTAACGGTAGATTTATTTAAGAATTTCAGAAAACCGTTCAACAGACCGATGAATCATTGGGAAATCAAAAGAATGAAGTGAAAGGGAAGTAAAATCATCATACTATTACTTGATTTATGTTGTAAATCAAGTAATAGTACTTTACTTGAGTACTTTAGTAAGTAAGTAAGTAAGTACTTTAGTAATAGTGCTTTACTTGAGTAAAATCATCATACTATTTACTTGATTTACATCATAAATCTCTAATTTTTATTTAATTTAAATGAAACAAATGAGCTTTTCTTTGTTATATTGGGTTTTCCAGTTATGAATGCGCGTTTTTACTATTTTGTAAATTTCTCAAGATATCAAACAGATATATATGAGTGTTATATATCATTCGAAAGCTGAAGATCTCCTCTACATTTGGATATAAAAAGCTTTGGAATTTGTTCAGCTTTTGGGCAAATTGATTGCACAAAGGGAGAGATCGTTTTCGAAAAAAAACTCATTTCAGCTTTGCTATTCCTCAAGTAAATTTCTTAAGATATCAAACAGATATATATGAGTGTTATATATCATTCGAAAGCTGAAGATCTCCTCTACATTTTGGAATAACAAAAAGTTTTTGAATTCATTCAACTTTTTCGGGAAAATGACTGCACAAAGGGAGAGATCGTTTTCGAAAAAAAAAACTCATTTCAGCTTAGCTATTCCTCAAGTTTTATGGTGTAAAATAACCGCCCAGAAAAGAAAAGAAAAGTAAAGATGCTCTGAAATTGTTAGATTTTTAAAAAAAGTTGTATTGATATATCTATTGGCCAAACATCAAACGGTTAACTCAATTTGAGCGGAGCCAAAACTTGATCCAAAGGCACCCCTTCCATTTTTTGGCCACCTCTTCTTTTGTGCAGTCAATTTGCCCAAAAGCTGAAAAAAGTCAAAAGCTTTTTATATCAAAATGTAGAGGAGATCTACAGCTTTCGAATGATACGCATAGATATCATTTTCTTGATTTCGATATCTTGAGAAATTTGCAAAATAGTAAAAAAACCGCGCATTTATAACTTCATAACTGGACAACCCAATACAAAAAAGTTTCGATCCCAAAAAAACAGCAAAAAAATGAGCTTTTCTTTGTTATAGCACCGGGTTTTCAGCAAAAACGTGTACTTTTCTGTGAAAAATTTTGCTATTTTGAAAGATTGTTTTTAAAGATTTTTTTTGAAGTTCTTAAAGTTCTTAAAGATTTTGTGAAATAAAATGTTAATTGCTTTCGATTTGTGGTGAATCGGTGGGCAAGAGGACGGTCGACAAGGAGCGATCAGAGCGATTGTTATCCTAAAATTTAAGTCAACTTTTTCTTTGATAATTTTTAGAAAAAGTTCGACTGACTGACTGGATGAAGAGCTGAGGGGTAAATTTCAAAGAAAATATGGATAATTTTAGAGTTTTATTAAAGAATTCTGGTGTAGAGAGGTTTCTTGAGTTAGTTTTCATTAATACTATAGCTTTTTTAGAATACTTAGAGTTTTTTAGAGTACTATTCTCTCTAATAGAGTAGTGCACCCTGATCGTCGTCTAAATTCCTCGAAATATCGAGAACCGCTTATCAGAAACTATCGATGTGGGGTCGGAAAATGTAGCTGACGATGAGATCTAGTGGGGGATTTGAGTGGTGAGCGTCTGTGAAAGCTTGGAAACAGTAAAATAGTCATCAACTCGGCTCGCCGGGGTGCACTATTAGCGAAAATATGGTAGTCGCAAATGTCACATGAATTAATCGAAAGGGGTTTTCAGGGGTGAGGAATCCGAAACTGCAATCAGCTTTGTGCTATGTGCTCTCAGTACCTCTAGATAGAATATCCGCACGGACTGCGGAAAGCTAGACTGCGTAGCTGGTTTTAGATACCGTATCCTCTCTAATAGAGTAGTGCGCCCTGATCGTCGTCTAATCTAAATTCCTCGTAATCTCGAGAACCGCTTATCAGAACCTATCGATGTGAGGTCGGAAAATGTAGCTCACGATGAGATCTAGTTGAGGATTAGAGTGGTGAGCTTCTGTGAAAGCTTGGAAACAGTAAAATAGTCATCAACTCGGCTCAGTAGAGATAGATATTAGAGAGATTAGAGAACTACTATTAAACTACTATTAGAGAGAATCCGGTACTTGTCCTCTTTCTAGCTTTTATACTTTTATACTTTTATACTTAAATTCTATACTTTACTTATACTTTCTAACTTCTGACACTTCAATTATGACAATTAGTTTGCCAAAACCATTTCTAGACAACTTACGGTAGCTCTTTTGTCTTAAATGTATCCTGAAAGCTTTATCGATCTTTGCAAGCTGACTTAAAGCCTTTTCCTAGTGTCCATCAATTTTGAATAATGCCCGGCTTTCATTTAGATGATCTTTACAAATTCTAAGAACAAAAGCACGCCCAGAGAAGAGTAAAGATCAATGAAAAGCCTTTTTTTCTCGTTTATTTCGTTACAAATTTAATCTACTCACTTGCAAAAAAGCCTTCGGAATGCTGTCTCCATAGTAAATCTTGTTGTTTTCTCGGATCGCTTTGATGCGTTGCAGTTCGATGTATTCTCTGAAAATGAAGTTAGAAAAAATAGAAAAGTGCACAACTAGGTCTAAGCTTTAAATAAAGCTTTAAAAGCTCTAAATAAACCTCTAAACAAGCTCTAAAAGCTCTAAAAACTCTAAAGCTCTAAATAAAGCTTCCCTATAGAAGCGTCGCGTTATCGCGTCTCAAAAAACCGCTCATATCTCGGCGCCCAGTCATTTAGTTCTGCGCGCTTAGGTATCAAATTAAAGTAGAGATAATAGGGAATTTTTGAGCTATTTCATATATTTTTAGCTTTAACCAGTGCTTAGAAAAAAAATGATTAAAAATTGGCAAAAAATAGCCGATTTTTCATCATTTTTTAATCATTTTTTCTAAGCACTGGTTAATCATAGAAACCTGTGTTATATCTCAAAAAATCACCCATCTTCTCTACTTTAATTTGATATCTAAATCCTCAGAAACAAACGTACTGGTGTCGAGATATGAGTGTTTGTTTGGAGAGTAAATTTAGAAAACGCGACGCTCCTATAGGCGGCTGTTCTATTGGGGTTTTTACGGTGTTTTTGACGGTTTCCTACTCACTTCGTTAACAATTTCGCGTTCGCTTCGGATTCCTTAGCGACTCGGTAGAACTCGGCATCGGCGTTTGCTTTTTCTTTGGCTAAACATTTGTGATTTAAAAACGTGGAAACAAAATTACCCAAATGAATCTGATCTTGGAGTTGGTTCACCGTTTTTTCCATTTCTTTTTCGGCGATATTCTGCTTGAATTTCACATCAGCAACTTGTGCTACTTTTTCAGCTTCTAAAAAAGATTGGGTGATTTGAGAATTTGTAAACGGAATCTTGTTTGAACAATCATTATACAAGGACAAGAAGAACAAGAGCAAGAGCAAGAGCAAGAGCAAGGACAAGGACAGGAACAAGAACAAGAACAAGAGCAAGAGCAAGAGCAAGGACAAGGACAGGAACAAGAACAAGAACAAGAGCAAGAGCAAGAGCAAGGACAAGGACAGGAACAAGAACAAGAACAAGAACAAGAACAAGAACAAGAACAAGGACAAGAACAAGAACAAGAACAAGAACAAGAACAAGGACAAGAACAAGAACAAGAACAAGAACAAGGACAAGGAGTTCAAACAAGATACTTTGCGGAATCTTGTTTGAACAATCATTTTAAACCAACCAATAATTGACTTCTTTCGATCTGTTTCTGCCTCTTTTTCTACTACTTTTTGATGCTCGACTGCAACAAGGAGTTTTGTCTGAAAAAAGAGAGCAACTTTGTAGTTTAAAGGCTAGTTTAAAGGCTAGTTTAAAGGCTAGTTTCAAAGGCTAGTTTGTAGAATTCAATCCTTAAATTTGATTTAAACCTTTTCTGTCTCAATTTGCTCATAATTTGCTTTAATAGCATCGGGAATTCTCGGCTTTGTGACACGGACTGATTGAACGTAAAGACCTGGAGCGAGAATGTGCAACTCTTCTTGAAGTGCACTCTTCAAATTTTCATCGATTTGATCTGAAAGAGCTTTATGCATTGGATTTCATAAGAATTTGAGAAATTTCATTGACGTTTGCTTTGATCTTAACTTTGAGCAAGAACAAGAACAAGAGCAAGAACAAGAGCAAGAGCAAGAGCAAGAGCAAGAGCAAGAGCAAGAGCAAGAGCAAGAGCAAGAGCAAGAGCAAGAGGAAGAGGAACAAGAACAAGGACAAGGACAAGAATAAGAATAAGAATAAGAACAAGATCAAGCTCAAGAGCAAGAACAAGAACAAGGACAGGAACAAGAACAAGGACAAGAAGAGGAACAAGATCAAGGACAAAAACAAGATCAAGAACAGAAACAAGAACAAGAACAAGAACAAGAAGAGGAACAAGAGCAAGAACAAGAAGAAGAGCAAGAGCAAGAGCTTTCAGAGCTCTGGCAATCTTTTACAGGGTAACCGATTCCTAATACTCCTGCAATTTCTGTTAGACCAAAGCTATTCATTTCTTTTTAACTAAAAAAAAACAAAACCGAACTCTTGTGAAAGTGGGGTTTTCAAAAAGTGCCCTTTTCTTGGTCACTCGTTGGTCACTTTTTGGCCACTTTTTGGTCACTCGCATTTGGCCCTCGAAATTTCTTCAATGGTTCGATCAATTGAAACACGTTTTAGCCTACTTTGTAGAGGAGATTTGCAACTTTCAAATACTTTTATAACATTCATCGATATCAGGTTTCTATCGTTGGAAATTGATGAAAATGTTGGAAAATCCGCATTTCTTATGCATTTACCTAATATCAAAATAAAATAGTTGAAAACTCTTTAAAACAATTATCAATAGCTTCTCCAGAGGTTTATCATATTGTTAACTTTTTAAAAAATTAAAATAACTTTAATAAAATGTTTTAAATACAGTCGAACCTCTCTATAATGAACCTCGATATAACGTAAACCTCTCTATAACGTAAGGCGTGACCGGTCCCGGCCAAATGTAATACAAAATGTCTATAAAAAAACCTCGATATAACGTAACTCTGTATAACGTAAACCTCTATACAACGGAAAATTTTGCCTGAAAATATGCAATTTTTTGTTCCATATAACGGATTTTATGCTAAAACGTGGATATTTCTTCCAACTACCATGCTCTTTGGATGGACTATTCTAATCTGTGGCCTTTTTGCCACAATTTAAAAGAAGAAAAAAAATCACTTACATAGATTCTTAATAAGTTTTTTGCGTTCATATATCGTTCATTTATTCTTTTTACGTGCTTATTTTCTGTATTAAATGATATTTATCATTTTTCAGGCGATGGAGCGAAAGAAGGCGACCCGGAAAAGGATCGATCTAGCTGAAAAAAAAGCGAATTCTTGATGCTTCAACTTCGAAAGGAGTAACGGATTTAGCAAGGGAATTCAAGCGGCCAATTTCGACCATTTCTTCGATTTTGGGCCAAAAGCAAACGATTTCTAATGCGATCAATGACGGTTCTCAGGGCAAGCGAGCACGAGTGAAGAATAGCAAACACGAGGACCTGGAAGGTGCGGTTATTTCTTGGTTGAAAGAGATTCGAAGCAACAATGAATGTGTGGACGGAAATTTGCTTCGAACAAAAGCTCTGGAGCTTGCAAAGTTGATGGGTATTACCGATTTCCGAGCTAGCAATGGATGGCTAGAAAAGCTGAAGCATAGGCATGGCATTGTTTTTCGTTCCCTACAAGGAGAAGCAGCCGAAATCGACCTGAACAATCTTGAGCAGTGGAAAGATGAAGTTTTGAAGGGACTCTTGAAAGAATTTGAGCCAAAGAATGTTTTTAACTTGGATGAAACAGCTCTTTTTTACAAGTTAACGCCGAATAAAACGTTGTCTTTCAAAGGCGATAGATGCACAAGTGGAAAGAAGAGCAAGGATAGAGTCACTGTTCTCGTCGGATCAAATATGGATGGAAGCGAAAGATGCCCTTTATTCGTGATTGGGAAATCGAAGCATCCGCGTTGCTTTAAGAATGTCAAAAAACTTCCTGTTTTGTACGAAGCAAATTCAAGAGCGTGGATGACCAGCGAATTATTTGAGAGCTATCTCAAGAAATGGAATTCAAATTTGATCAAATTTAATCGGGAAATTTTGTTGTTTATTGATAACTGTCCAGCACATCCGAAGCTCAATTTATCAAACATTCAGATTAAATTCTTATTGCCGAATGCAACTGCGGCAATCCAACCAATGGATATGGGAATAATTAAAAATCTGAAGGTCAGATACCGAACAGGATTGTTGAAACAAAGAATTGCAGCTGTCGATGCAAAGGCCAAATTCGAATTTAATCTTTTGGATGCACTATACTTACTCGAAGAATCCTGGAATGACGTTAAAGTGGAGACGCTTTCAAATTGTTTTCGTAAGGCCGGATTCAAGGGATGTATGCAAGATGAGCCGCCATTTATCGAAAACAATAACGACGACGATAACTCGCTACAATCATTGCAGGCTATCTGGAATCAACTTATTGATAGTGAAGACGTTGATCGATCAATCAATCCTTTGGAATTTGCTTGCGCCGACGAAAATGTTGTGACTACAGGGTTAAGATCGCTAGAGGAAATTGCACTAGCTGCTCAAGGTACAGATTATATCGTTTAAAGTAATGCTAATTTAAGAAAAAGATCAATTATGTTTCCTTAGGTTCGCAACTACAGTCGATTTCTTCTGATAGCGAGGATGATGAGCCAATCGTTGAAGACGTGGAAGAGCCGATAGTGACACGATCCGAGGCATATCTACATCTTCAAAAGCTCAAGATATTTGTGAGGAATAACCCTAATTCCGAAATTGTTAAGGCTTTAGCAACTTTTGATAATTTTTTCTTTGATCAGGCTTTTTTTTCTCCTAAACAATCCCGTTTGACTAACTTTTTTGTTAAACTTTGATGCTTTTTGATAATTTTTTTACCTTTTTTGTTGAGTTTTTGCAATAAATATGTTCCAATACCTCTACATAACGTAATGGTTGCAATAAACCCTGCGTTTTTGATTCTATATAACAAAACCTCGATATAACGTAAACCTCTATATAACGTAAACTATAGCCGGTCCCGTGAGTTACGTTGTAGAGAGGTTCGACTGTACATAAAAAAAGCCAAATTGATTGAAATTTTTGATTAAAATTTTTTTCCCAAAAGTTTCTTAATCTTTTTTTCATCAATAATACTTAAATAAAAGCTAATCTTTAAAAAAAAGATGTTAAAGAATAAGAAAAGCTAAGAAAAGCTAAAGAAAAGCTAAAGAAAAGCTAAGAAAAGCTAAGAGAAGCTAGGAAAAGCTAGGAAAAGCTAAGAAAAGCTAAGAAAAGCTAAGAAAAGCTAAGAAAAGCTAGGAAAAGCTGAGAAAAGCTAAGAAAAGCTAAAGAAAAGCTAAGAAGAGCTAAGGAAAGCTAGGAAAAGCTAAGAAAAGCTAAGAAAAGCTAAAGAAAGCTAAAGAAAAGCTAAGAAAAGCTAAGAAAAGCTAAGAAAAGCTAAGAAAACTTACCAAATAGATCAATATAGACTTGTTGAATGGTGTGTTTACTGCAGAATTGATTGATTTCGTGATGAACCTAGTGATGATTGTTTAGTTGATTTAAAAAGCCATAAAATGTTACCTTTTGATAAATCAATGGCTTATCATAGTCAACTGTGTAATTTTGTACCATATCGTGAACAGCTTTCTTTTTCAAAATGTTTACAACTTCGATTCGGTCGAAATAGATCATGACACCACCTTGGGTTCCACAAGGAACATTTTCCACTGTATCTGTTTGAATTGTGATCTAAAAATGTGAAAATAAAAAAAATCAATGGACTAGAAAGGGTATGCTTACAGTTTTAAGCAAAAAGGAAATTATAAAATGTTTACCTGAACTTGTTTTACCGTTGTAATATTAGGTTGGCGGGAAAATAATGCGAATTTTTTTGACCCGAATTTTTATTTAAAATTGCTACACTGACTGGCACTGCCATTGGTTCACTTTCATTAGATGATGGTACATTTGGTACCATAGTTAATGTAATATTTGGCACAGTCTTTGGTCCATTGCCTGCCAGTGTCTTCGCCTTTTCTTTTGCATTTGAGCCGCTCAACTTTTCGTGAAGTTTCTAAATATTAGGTTGGCGGGAAAATAATGCGAATTTTTTTGACCCGAATTTTTATTTAAAATTGCTACACTGACTGGCACTGCCATTGGTTCACTTTCATTAGATGATGGTACATTTGGTACCATAGTTAATGTAATATTTGGCACAGTCTTTGGTCCATTGCCTGCCAGTGTCTTCGCCTTTTCTTTTGCATTTGAGCCGCTCAACTTTTCGTGAAGTTTCTAAATATTAGGTTGGCGGGAAAATAATGCGAATTTTTTTGACCCGAATTTTTATTTAAAAAAAAAAACAATAAATAAAGAGGATTAATATAAAAGGTATTCTCCATTATTACTTAGGACATTATGTCAACTTTTGCTCAATTCAATAATTTCTTCTTCAAAGAACTGGGGACTTTTTGACGAAAAATAGTTGGTGACCGCATTTTCGACTTCCCGAAAATCGTTGAACAGCTGATCGGGGATGAACTGCTTTAGAGACTGAATAAGTGATAGTCTGATAGGGTCAAGTCAGGGCTGTATGGGGCGTGAGGTAGAAGCTTCCAACCCAGCTCTTCGATTTGTTGGAGGATCATCTTTGCCGTATGCGGTTTTGCATTATCACGCAAAAATCGAATTTTTGAAGTGTCATGTCGAGATTTCGGTAAAGCTTGATTCACACGCTCAAACTGCTCACTGTAAAGTTCAGATGTGACAGTTTTACCCGGTTTGAGCAGTTCAAAATAAACCAATCCACGATAGTTCCACCATACGTACAACATCAACTTCCTTCCAGGTTTTGACATGACAACCGGGACCTGCTTTGGTGATGGCCATTGGTGCTTGCGCTTAACGTTATCATATAATATCCACGTTTCATCAGAAGTAACAATCGATTTCCAAAAATCAAAATTTTGAATCAAAATTGAACAAGTGTTCATACGGGAAATTTTGTGATTAAAGGTCAGTTCATGTGGGACCCATTTTCCGCATCTGTTTCGCTTTCCAATCAAATGTGAATGCTCTTCAATGGTGCTATGATCAACATTGAACATTTCCGACAACTCCCGAGTGATGCAAGTGGGATCTTCTTCGATAATTTGCAAAAGTTGAGACTCATCCAGCTTTCGAGGACGTCCTTCGTGACGCTCATCTTCTAGGCTCTCGTTTCCATTTCGAAATCGCACAAACCATCGATAACATTAGCTTTCGCTAATACTACCTTCGCCATAGGCCTTTGAAATAGAATTATGCGATCCACGGGCAGATTTTCCAAGCTTAAAGTCATAGAGTAAAGCAGCTCGAATAAGGAATTTTTGTTCCGTCATTTTTTGATAACAAATGAACAAATGTTTTCAAATAATATTATGATTGTGTAAGCAAACACACTCTGCTTCTCTGTTACTATCGCGGTTTTCTCTGTTTGTCGGCCATTACTTTCCCAAGAGCACAAGTTAAAAATTCGCATTATTTTCCCGCCAACCTAATATATGGTATTTAACCCGGATCAAATTTGCATACTTTAGTTACACAGATAGACTCAAAATTTTTGATCTTAAATCTATTAGACACCGCCGCTTGGTCACGGATTTAATAGAATGTTTCAAAATTGTAAAGCGCAGGCAACTTATCCCTCTTTTTCGAGATTTATTCAAAGTTAATCCCACGGTTAGTTCAAGGAGAGGTTCTTTCGTTAGAAATTCTTGGTTTTAGAAATTCCAGTCACCTCCAATAAGTTTGTTTATTGTTTATCCAATTTAACTCTTTTCCAATAAGAAATGCCAGAATTTGGAATCGACAAGGGAAAATTGTTCAATTTCAATCATCTTGAAGATCTTGAACTTGAAGCTCTAGTGGATTGTTGTGGATCTAGTGGATTGACTCCCCAGAGTTTTGAGAGGGTTCAATAGTCTCGAAAGCTTTAAAATAATCTGTAGATGATCTCGATCTTGAAGCTCTAGATGATCTTGATCTTGAAGCTTTAGATGATCTTGATCTCGAAGCTTTAGATGATCTTGATCTTGAAGCTCTAGATGATCTTGATCTTGAAGCTCTAGATGATCTTGAAGCTCTAGATGATCTTGATCTTGAAGCTCTAGTGGATCCTTGACGTTATCTGTGCTACCCACATTTTACATATTAATATATTACATATATTATATCGTGTTTCTTTTTATCGGCCCTTTTCGTGTTATGTGTATGAATTGATGTGTTTTCTAGTTCCAGACTAATCTTAAATCTAGCGCTCTAGCGCACTTTATCTCAGGTCCTGAATCTATATATCTGTTTGATATATATCTATATATCTGTTTGAATTGTCATCTAAAAATGGGAAAATAAAGAAACCAATGGACTAGAAAGGGTATGTTTACAGTTTTAAGCAACAAAGTACATTATAAAATTTTTACCTGAACTTGTTTTACCGTTGTAATATATGGTATTTTCACGTGATAACCCGGATCAGAGATTTCATCCAACAAAGCTCCACCCTGAAAACTTTACAGCTTTTCATTTGACGATTTTTGATTTAAAATATAGCTTATTTTGTACCCTAGTTGGCTACAAATAGAAAGACAGAAATAAGTGTAGATAAACTACTTTGTAGACAAAAGTGTACTGTAGCTAGATACTGTAACTTTAAGCATCTCTCCGAAAATCGACTTTTTTTTGTCAATTCCTTCATTTCTTTATTAGTAATAGATGTGGTTTTGATTTTTAAGAGCTTACGGTTCTAAAGATTCAAGTATTTCCTTCTTTCTTTTTTCTTTCTTTCCTTCTTTCTTTTTTCTTTCTTTCTTTCTTCTTCTCCTTGTCTTTCCTTTTTTTCTTCTCCCCCTTATCTTTCCTTCTTTCTTATCCCCCTTGTCTTTCCTTCTTTCTTCTCCCCCTTGTCTTTCCTTCTTTCTCTTGGCAAGTTAAGGTATCGGATAGTTAACTAGGGAAAGGCACCAAGTCGCATTTTGATACGAGAGCCAGCTTTATAGGATCGGCTACACTGATTCCGAATATGCTTTTACTTTTTCCAACGGAGCTCTGTAACGCAAGATATCTGGCATCAAATAGGCCAATTTTCGGGGTCCTTATAAGCTTTTACTCTTGTTTCTAAAAAGAGAGCTAGTGAGCAATGGATAGTTTGCTCGTCTCCAGAATTTTTTGCCCGGGTTTGAGTTCGCTCCCGGTTAATTCTTTTCCTTTTTTAAGAAAATGATTCGAAAATGTTTTTGGGAAAAGGATTGATTTATTTAGACTTTTATCAAGTTATTCAGATTCAGTGACTATTTATTTTTATTTATAGGAACTAAATAGTGACTATAAAGCAGCTTCCAAGGAACTTTAAAGGAGCTTTAAAGGAGCTTTATAGGAACTAAATAGGGACTATACAAGCTTCAAAGGAGCTTTAAAGGAGCTATAAAGGAGCTTTATAGGAACTAAATAGTGACTATAAAGCAGCTTTCAAGGAGCTTTAAACGAGCTTTATTAAGTTATTTAGACTAATTTATTTAGACTTTTATTAACGGAAGAATGTTTAGAAATGATTTAGGAAAATGGTGCTTTTGTTTATAAATGTTGTTTGTTGTTGCTGGAAAATTGTTTACGATTTCTGTTTAAGCAAAAAAGTGAATTTCAATACGCGGAATGAAATTGAATTGTTTTCCATAAAATAATGGAATACAATACAAATTTTCTCATTATTTTCTTCAAAAAAGAATCTAATGAAGAATAAAAAGAATAAAAAGTAAGATGAAATTCCGAATCAATATAGCCGATTCTATAATTCTTGTAGTAGATTTCTCCCGTAGTTCATGAATTCATTTAAAATTGATTTAAAATTAAATTAAGATCACTTTGACTTTGCCTTTTTGCCTAGTCAACGATTAAAGCAACTACCCGGAAAGTAAAAGATCGAGACTTCAATTCCCTCTCTATAAATCTGCTTTTTCTTGTCGATTTCTTTATTAAATACTGTAGTTTACCAGCTGAAGCTGCTAAACAAACCCTGTAATAAATCCCAACGGATCCTTCGTCAATTTTGTGAATTCCCGAGTAAATAGTGGCAATGAAGAGAATAAAGAAGCCGACCACTAACAGAAAGACTCCAAGCGTAATATGTTTTCGATTTTCCTTTAGAAAACCTAAAGATAAGCAAGTTTTTCCCTTTAGAACAATAGTTTGCCAAAAAGAGTGCGTTTACATCTTTGTTCTTTTTGCACTTTTCGCATGAAAACATACTCTTTTTAGTGCACTAAATTAGGTTAATTTTTGGAAATTGAGTGCACCAGAAAGGATGGGTTTCGCCTAAAACAAGAGGAAGAAATTGAAATTTTAATCAGAAGGAAATTGTTCGGAATAAGACCTAAGCCTAAACCTAAGCCTAAACCTGAGCCTAAGCCTAAGCCTAAGCCTAAGTCTAAGCCTGAGCCTAAGCCTAAGCCTAAGTCTAAGCCTGAGCCTAATCCTAAGCCAATGTACTAGATTCAGCGCGTTTACAGAAAACATTGAAGTTTAGCTGGTTTTAAACGTGATTTTAGTGTTTTTAAACGTCTTTTTTCAAAGAAAACCAGCTCTAACTCAGTCCATTAGACTTCATGCGTTTACAAAGAAACTCACCGTTCTCCATTTGAATATAAATTTAGATTAAAATTGAATAAAGAAAGAATAAAGAAGAATAAAAAAGTTTTCAAACAGACTTCTTTTATTTCTTTTATTTTTTTTTTATTGGGGAGTGGCCTTCAACCAGTTTAAAAAAGAGAATTTTTGTTTTCTTTTGCAAAAACGGAAAAAAAGATGAATTAAATCGATCTCTCGATTGGGAAATCGCAATGAAAATAAGAAAAAGGAAGGAAAAACTGAAAAAAGCGTCAATACCCTTTTACTCTTTGACAGATGACGCAGATAAAGGATGTTTTTGGAAAGAAAATTGTTAGGAATGAGTCAATAAAGTCCAGTTTCGACAGGAAATAGTTCTGAAAAGGATGAAAAGGAAACAATTACCCGGAAAGTAAAAGATCGAGAGTTCAATTCAGAATCAGTATAGCCGATTCGATAATTCTTGTAGTAGATTTCTCCTTGTCTTTCCTTCTTTCTTCTCCCCCTTGCCTTTCATTCTTTCTTCTTGAATTCATTTAAAATTGATTTAAAATTAAATTAAGATCACTTTGACTTTGCCTTTTTGCCTAGTCAATGATTAAAGCAATTACCGGGAAAGTAAAAGATCGAGACTTTGTTTTTTCAATTCTCTCTCTATAAATCTGCTTTTTCGTGTCGATTTCTTTATTAAATACTGTAGTTTACCAGTTCAAGCTGCTAAACGAATCCTGTAATAAATCCCAACGGATTCTTTGTCGATTTTGTGAATTCCTGAGTAAATAATAAATATAGGATCACTAGAATCAATAAATCTTTCTTTCTTTCTTTATTCTTTCTTCCTTTAGCCGATTCCTAAAGCCGATTCGATAATTCTTGTAGTAGATTTCTCCTTGTCTTTCCTTCTTTCTTCTTCCCATTGTCTTTCCTTCTTTCTTCTTGAACTCATTTAAAATTGATTTAAAATGAAATTAAGATCACTTTGACTTTGCCTTTTTCCCTAGTCAATGATTAAAGCAATTACCGGGAAAGTAAAAGATCGAGACTTCAATTCTTTCTCTATAAATCTGCTTTTTCTTGTCGATTTCTTTATTAAATACTGTATGTTTTCTTATGTAAAAACCGAAAAAGATCAATTAAATTAAATTAAATCGATCTCTCGATTGGGAAATCGCAATGAAAATAAGAAAAAGGAAGGAAAAATCGAAAAAAATCACCAATTCTCTTTTACTCTTTGACAGATGACGCAGATAAAGGATATTTTTGGAAAGGAAATTGTTCGAAATGAGTCAATAAAGTCCAGTTTCGACAGGAAATAGCTCTGAAAAGGATCAAATTCCTGAAATTATCGCCGAGTAATCGATTTTTGAAGAGTTTTCCGTAGAAATCAAATACAAAATCGATAGATCTAATAAAATGGAAATTTCCAATCGATTCCACGACCCTGAAAACCTCTGAGTACAAATTTACAGCTGAATATCTTTTTTTGTGTCGTTGCAAAAGAGGAGATCTTTGAGTAAATGACTGGCAATGCGTTCTTTGTGCGGCCCGGTAATCGCTCACCGTCTGACACAAGCTGCCGATAGATACCTGGTTCTTTTCGGGATGCTCTAACCCTCAGCGACTCAAATTTCTCCATTTTCCAACGTCACCATGCCCAGATTTTAATTTCTTTTGTGTTTTTCTTGATTTTCTGTCGTGTTTTTATTTTAGTGATGGGCAGAAGGAGGAGCTTTCAGACGTAGGAAAAGAAAAGGGAATGCTTGAAGCGATGAATCAAGATATCAAGCTGGAGACAGCTATCGAGAGCCAGGAAAATCGGCCGTTCACACCAATTGATCAGTACCTATCTCGACGATCCAACGATCTTGTTTATTCGTATTCTTATGTAAATGCATCTGTTGATGTATTTATATGTCGCAGCCGGTGAAAAATTTCAGCCGAAGAAGTCTCAGACTTCTTCGGCTAGCCGATTAAGTCTCAAAAATGAAATCTTGAGTTATGAATTGACCCAAGTCAATACCACAAACTCAATCTCTCTAAAAGGCGCTTAAAAGCTACAAACGCATTCTTTTGCATCCTTTTATAGCATCTACAAAGTAAAAGAGAAATCCTTATATAAATGATTGGCGAGATGTTCTTTGTGCGGTAGTCGCTCGCTGTCTGGCACAAGCAGATAGATAGTGGTTCCCTTTTCGAATCGTTTATATAAGCTTTGCTAAGAGAAGAAAAAAAGAAAACGATAAAAGAGTTTGGATTCAAGAGGGATTTGATGAGTGCCGAAATTCAAGTCGGCCGGAACATTTGCTACAAACAATCTATCGTTTTCAATGATATCTTTTATGATATAATCAATTTTTGGCTTAAATTTGGTTTTCTTTTGGCGGATTCTTGTAGAAATTCTCATTGTGTAAAGCCAAAAACATGTGGGTTATGATCTGGGTCAAAAAAAAAGAAAATCCCTCCTCGCACTCAATCCTTTCATACCCGATTTGGCATGAACAGTACCGTGAACTAGACTTCGGAAAAAACAAAACTTAACCAAAACCAAAACTACCAAAACCAAAACCAAAACTAACCAAAACTCGCGAATATCTCGCGACTGGGAGGAGCTAGCGAAAATCTGTTTGCAGATTTGAAATCAGCATCCAAAAATCTATCCCATAGGCTATTTTTTGTTTCGAAATTTCGAGGTCGTGCTTTGGTCCTTTTTTCGGCCGCGAGATTTTGTGGAGTGAGAAAAAGTGAAAGGCTAATTTGCATTTTACATTAAAATTTGCATTTTGCAATTTTAAATTGACATTTTACAATTTTAAATTTACATGTTAATTTATATGCAAATTGAGTTTTGGTTTGTTTTGGTTTTGGTTTGTTTTAGTGTTTTGGTTTTGGTTTTGGTCTGTTTTGGTTTTGGTTTTGTTTGCCGAACTCTACCGTGAACAGTACCGTGAACTCTACCGTGAACAGTACCGTGAACAGTACCGTGAACAGTACCGAACAGTACCGTGAACAGTACCGTGAACAGTACCGTGAACAGTACCGTGAACTCTACCGTGAACAGTACCGTGAACAGTACCGAACAGTACCGTGACGTACCGTGAACAGTACCGAACAGTACCGTGAACAGTACCGTGAACAGTACCGAACAGTACCGTGAACAGTACCGTGAACAGTACCGAACAGTACCGGAACAGACCGGAACAGACCGTGAACTCTACCGGAACAGACCGGAAGACCGGAACTCTACCGTGAACGTACCGGAACGTACCGTGAACTCTACCGTGAACAGTACCGTGACGTACCGGAACTCTACCGTGAACAGTACCGTGAACAGTACCGTGAACTCTACCGTGAACAGTACCGTGAACAGTACCGTGAACAGTACCGTGAACAGTACCGTGAACAGTACCGTGAACAGTACCGTGAACAGTACCGAACAGTACCGTATTTCTGTACTTAATGGTATGCTTTTTTGTGTGTGTGTAAAAACAGTAATTATATATTTATTTATATAAGCTTTATTTGGCACTATCAATCAAATGAGATCACAAGCAAAGAGAAAAAATGCTGAAGAAGAGAATGGAAAAAAGTTTTCAAATTAATTCCAAGTCGAAAAATTCGCTTTTAAATGGCCAAAAAAAGATGAATCACAGGGAAAAACGAGGATTTTCATTTAAACAAAAAAAACAACAGATAAATTTGTATTAAAATAAGGAACTTTAAAAGTAAAATTGGCAAAGCTTTTTGCCAGAAAATGAAATGAAATAAAATGAAATAAAAGAAAAGAAAATGAAATGAAATAAAATGAAAGAAGAGAAAAGAAAATCCAATCAAATCCAATCCAATCAAATCCAATCAAATCCAATCAAATCCAATCAAATCCAATCAAATCCAATCCAATCAAATCAAATCAAATCCAATCAAATCAAATCAAATCAAATCCAATCAAATCAAATCTAATTTCTTTCTAAAGTTTCTTATCATCTACAGAGTCGGTGAGTTGGAGAACTGTGGAGAGTTCACGACCGGAACGAGCTTCACCCTAAAAACAAAGATAAGATTCTAAAGAATTCTAAGATTTCCAAAAAACCATCTAAAGTAAATGATAATTTTGAGAATTATTTAGTTTTCTAGCTGTTTTCTGGCTTTCTGGCTATGCCATGATAGCCAAGAAAGCAATTTGATTTTGATTTACTTGAATGAAAGCCTTTGGAATGCTGTCTCCATAGTAGATCTTGTTGTTCTCTTTGATTGCGTGAATGCGTTGCAATTCGATGTATTCTCTAAAAGTTGAAGAGATTATTTGAATAGAATTGGGTTTCCAGTTATCCCTGGAATAGAATAGGATTCCGAGTTTTGCCTTTCAAAAAACAAACTTCGTGAGCAATTTCTGATTCGCGTCAGCCTCTTTGGCGATTTTGTAGAACTCGGCGTCGGCGCGGTTTCGTTCCTTAGCTGAAGTAAATGATAATTTTGAGAATTATTTAGTTTTCTAGCTGTTTTCTAGCTGTTTTCTGGCTTTCTGGCTATGCCATGATGCCAACAAAGCAATTTGATTAGTCCTTAGCTAAAAATCGAGTTTAGACATTCCAGCTTATCTCTGAAATCAACTCTATACTATATATGAAGCAGGAGAGACGTCTCTGTCTGTCTGTCTGTGGGCAAACGGAACGTTCCGTAATTACGTTTGCTCTATCGGCTAAAAGGCAAAGTATTCAGCTTTTACGCGTGATACTTTGCTCCCAGGGGTTTTCGACTATGGGGAATCTGCCATTTTTAAAAAGGGGTACAGGGCTTTACATGGGTTACGGTAGTTTTAGTCATTTGAATGAATCTGAAATCAACTCAAAACTTCTTTCAACTTATTCATTTTCTTATACAAACCCAAATGAATCTCATCCTGAAGTCTGTTCACGGTTTTCTCCATTTCTTTCTCGGCAATCACTTGTTTATGCTTAACAGCAGCGACTTGAGCGTGTTTTTCGGCTTCTTAAATGAAATTTATAGTTTTATATATATATATATAAAGATATC